GTGTGTATATGTGTTATGTGACTGAAAGTAATAACGATAAAAAGATAATAGCAACAAAGATAATGATGACAATATGTACAGTATAACCATTATAACCCAAACCCCAATAATGATCATTGTCTGAAGGAGACTTCAACGCCGACCGACAGGGAACGAGGGTAGGCAGCGAAGCCTCATTCCCTCTCACGCACTCCTATTTATATGTTCCCAAGCCTGAAACACATCACAACACATCCTCGCCCTTGGCTTCATCCTACTCCTTCCTTAGAGCATCTTCGAGTGTAAAAGGACATCCAATCTCGCTTCCACAATGGCTGAGAGAGCTGTCAAGAAAGCCGGAGAGGCAGCTGGACGCCCCAAGTACAGCCAGATGGTCGCCGCCGCCATCAGGGCCTTGAAGGAGCGGACTGGTTCCTCCCGTCAGGCGATCCTCAAGTACGTCGTCGGCGTCTACGGGATCGAGGACGAGAAGAGAGCAGGCGTTCAGGTTCGGCTGGCGCTGAAGAAGGGCGTTGCTGGAGGGTCTCTGGTGCAGGTGAAGGGGACAGGGGCTTCTGGCTCCTTCAAGCTCGCCAAGGTGGAAGGCAAAGCGGAGGGAAAGAAACCCGCTGCTAAGAAGGATGGAACCAAAACCAAGAAGGAATTGTCGAAGAAACCGTCCGCGAAAAAGACCACTGTCAAAAACCAGCCGCCAAGAAGACTCCGGCAAAGAAAGGATCCGCGAAAAAGACCGCAGTGAAGAAACCAGCCGCCAAAAAGACCACAGTCAACAAAGCCACAGCAAAAAGGCGTGGCGAAGAAAGGAATCGCTGAAGAAATCAACAAAGGAAAAGGATTCGAAGAAGAAAACGACGCTCAAGCAGCCGTCTTCCAAGAAAATCGTCAAGAAGTCTGCAACTAAGAAGACGGAGAAGAAATCCACAAAGAAAGTCGTTAAAAAATAAAGATGGTTTGGAAATTAACTATGTATATATGTCAAATAAACGTCTATAGTCAACGATATGAGTTTTATCTATCGGAATCATGAAAAATGAAGTAGAACTATGAGAAGCGTTAATTAATGATAAACATGAAACCAACAGAGCTGTTCAGAATGTTCACGAGAAGCGTTCTGAGACCATGAACATCTACCGTCCCCACAAATTAAACTTATCCTTAGTTCGTGTGATGGCAACCAGCGTTGGTAGAGTTGGAAATCCCTCCTAAGCTGTCAACACGTGACAATCGTTTTTTTTTCTCACTCCAGTAGTATTTTAGAGTGAATATCCTTTGTTTAAATCTTAGTCTGACTGCTATTATTCATTCCAAAGGAAAGAGAAATATAAATTAAGTTATTC